GGGTTTCATACGTGGAGCTTTGACAAATCTATGTATTTTACTGATGTCTTAAGGCTTAAGGATATTTCCAATAGACAAATCGCGTAGGAAAGTCCAATGAGCAAAGACTGGAATATGCTAATCCTGCTTTGCAACGGCCATAGACTTTCAGGTGGAGAATATGACTTTGATTAGAGGAGTCAAATGAAGCATATACCTGCCTAAAAAGATGGGGCAAAAGTAACATCTTTCCTTGGTTTTCTTCTCGTTATGTTGGCATTGGATAGGAAGCAATAGGAAAACTAATGACTCGTAGCTTCGAGTAAAAATATGTATTTGGAGAGATTTCTTTATTATGGGGTTTGATATTTGATATCACTCGTTTTTAAATTAATTAAGTTTTAAAATGGATAAGATGGTTTAGTAAAAGCATTTGGATCTCATGGCCCAACAGTTATAAATTGATTTGTAAGGTGCATCCTCAGTTCAACAGTTAGATTCGATTCCCTCATCAAAATTGTAACCTTGTTCAAAAAAAAAAAAAAGGATGGTTTAAAAAAAAAAAAAAAGAATTTGAAAATTGCAAATTACTCCATGGAAGGAAAGGATCCCCTTCAAAGGTGCTTTCCCTTTTTTTTTTTTTCCACTAAAAATTAAATTAGTTGCTTCTCTTTATGCATTTCTTTTACCAATACCAAAGATAAAAATCTGGGATTTGCAATTTTCGTCCGAGCTTTGGATTCAAATTATACAATAAGATGCAGAACCAAGTCTCATTGGTTTGTAACTTAGTGAAGCACAAAGTGATTAGAAGTTTCAAATTTATATTACGTAATAAAACAAGTTTCTTAGCCTCATGGAAATTAATAATATTAAATCCTAATATTTTCAGTCTTCCATGGAAGAAACCGTAAGCATGGGACGTCCAAGACCATGATAAACCATTTTAACTTTCTCACCATGCAACTTTCATGGTCATTACGCAAGAAGCAACTGGAGGGTGTAGAGCTGTTATAATTAAGAAGCGGAAATTTGGATGTACCAAAAAAAATAAAAAAAGAAGCGGAAATTTGGATTAAGAATTTTTTTTTTATTATATCTGATTGTAAATTATATAAGAGAAACAGTCTTTTATATTCCCAAATCTTTTTTTAACCAACTCAAAATGCAAGTTAGGATCTTCAATTTAAAATTTTAAACCCTTAATAGTTGAATCACCTCATTGGGGTTGAATTAAAAATCTTGTTTTTGTAATTAAGACTATTCTTAATATTGTCTTAATATTAGAAAATTTACTCTATCTACCATTTAAATTATATAATTTGGATCTTGTACTTTAAAAATAAAATATTTTAATTTTACTAATAAAAATGTATTAAAATAATATAATTTTAAAATAAATCTTTTTTATAAAATTAAAAAAATAAAACAGATAAATTCTATTTTCGAATTAACACGTAAAAAAATTTCTTACGTGCTGCTATTAGAAAAACGAAAAGCTTCAATTTATGTTTGGCTCAGGAGAAAATCAATTCAGGGGAAAACCGAGGCATGTACAAAAACGACGTCGTTTGCAATTTATAATGCAATAGATATGTACGGGAGGGGATATGGTAGATGAGAACGCAAAGATGTTCTCGTCTATATATACTAAACCGTCGCTCTTCCTGTGTCTTTTCTCACACTCCCCTTTCTCCCCTTACAAAAAAAACCAATACTCCATTTCCCTTTCTCCTCTCTTAATTGATTTCCTGAAGCATGACGAGCTCCTCCGCCGCCGCTCGCAAGGTTCGCTGCCTCCTCCTCTTTCTTCTCTTCCGTGTCGTTATATACACACGCTTGAGATGTAATTTGTTTTGATTTGCTTTTTCTAGATTTTTTCTTTTTTTTTGGGTATATTTTGTTCTGAATTTATCGGATTTTGATGCTTTAGGCGCTGAGCAAGATTGCTTGCAATCGCCTCCAGAAGGAGCTGGTAGAGTGGCAGGTCAACCCTCCCGCCGGTTTCAAACACAAAGTCACCGATAATCTCCAGAGGTAGAGTTGTTTTGAGTCATTCAAAGGCTGCTTTTTATCTTTTCTGTTTGGTTTCTGAGAAAATTCGGGAGAAAACAAACGAATAGGAGAGAGAAATTTTGGATCTTGTTCTTTATGATCTTTCCGGATTTTTCAGAATGTATATAAATGGAAAATCTTTGGATGTTTTATGTCCTTACCATCAATTTTAGAGGTTCTCTGATATGTGCCCCTAATTTGTCCCTCTATATTCACTATATACATTGTTTGCATTACATGTTTAATATTTCCTGTTGAAAGGTGGATCATTGAAGTAAATGGAGCTCCTGGAACTCTATATGCAAACGAAACCTACCAGCTTCAGGTTGATTTCCCTGAGCAATACCCGATGGAAGCCCCACAGGTATGAATAGACCTATCATGTGTTGACAGCTCGTTATCCTTTATAATTTTCAATTTTTCATTTATGTATGGTATCTTGTAAGGGTGTTTTTTGGTGGTTTTGATTATGGTAATGGAATCACAGGTTATATTCCTTCATCCTGCACCTTTGCACCCTCATATTTATAGCAACGGACATATTTGTTTAGGTAAGGCCCAATTTTGTTTTGCCATCATCGAGGTTGTCTTCAGTTGATGTACTATGATCCAAGGTTGCAAAGTCATTATTTCTTGGAGATTCTGATGCATGATACTTTATTTTTGTATTATTATGTCATGTTCTGATTTATCTCTTGGCTCTTGTGTCAACTTTAATCACTCGTCTATTGAAACGTGAAAGTGATGATCTTGTCCAAAAGTTCCCAATATGTTGATTTCTTTCCTTTTCTTGCAGTTTAATGCTTCCCTTTATATTCTTAAAAGCATTTTTTTTCCCTTTAAATAGGAGGATTGCAAAATCTTTATATATAGGTTTCTACTTTGTCATTTTGCTTGTTAGTTGTATCATTAGCTGGCTCCCTTTGCTAGGTCTTGTTGTTAATTACTATTTCCAGAATTCCAGTCAAATATTAACCAGCAGAACAATACTAAAACTTCCCACCTAAATTTTCACCACATAAAGATTGCCTCTAATAGCTTCACAAATTCACTATTCATTATCACACTATTGAAAACATCCTCCCTAAGCCTTATACCGAAATTTGAGTAGAAGAGCAAGTAAACTTTGTCTCAGGGAGGATGGTTTGTTTCAGATTACAATGTTTGTTGAGTTTTCCTTTTGGCATGATGTCTCTTTGAGTTAATTCCTACTCTTTTATTCTCAATAAGTTATGAGCAGCTGTTAAGGAACTAAGCCCAAAGTCACTCAGCTGTGTATTTTAATTTTTATTAAGAATGTTAGTTACATACATAGCACTGCTGATTGGTTGTTTTAATTTTTTTTACACTGTTTACGATGTTTCAAAGACCTGATGGTAGTTCCTTCAATTGAACAAAGTGATTGAAAATAACTTGGGAATTGAACTCTGGATAATATTGTTTTCTGCATACCAAGCCTGCCCAGCATTTTTTGCGAACTTCAGTGCATAATTCCTATTATCTACTTGTGTTGTCCCCATTCTGGACAACCAAATGGTAAACTTTACATTTCAGTAAATTAATAATATCTGGTGATATGTGTATTTACTATTGAAATTAATTGTTCTTCTTCTTCCTT